GGAGGAGTAGAGGGGAAGGAGAGGGGGAAAGGAGAGGGGGGGAGGGGAGGAAGGGAATGGAGAGCGGAAGGGAGTGTAGAAGGGGTAGAGGAGAAAAATGGAAGGAGGGATAGAGGGGAGGGAGGCGAGGTAGAGGAGGAAAGAAAGGAGGGAGTGGAGTAAGGGGAAGGAGGTAATTTAGGAGGGAGGGGAGAGCAATAGAGGGTGGGAGGGAGTGGAAGGGAGGAGGAAGGGAGAAGAAAGGGAGGGAAGGGGTGAAGGGAGGGGAGAGCAATAGAGGTTGGGAGGGAGTGGAAGGGAGGAGGAAGGGAGGGAAGGGGTGAACAGAATGGCAGTCTCGATAAACAGAGAGTTTGCATAAAGAGAGGCACATTGACACAATGATGGCCATTTGGTGCAGGCAAAGTGCAGTGTAAATTAACAGAAAATACAGCGGGAATATAGAGATAGGACCCATCCATCACCCGCGGTTAACAGAGAGAGGAGCAACACTTACGTTCATCAATCGCAGAGTCATCAAAAACTGGCATAAAGACGTGTATGCGTGAGAGAGGGAGTGAGTGTATGAGTGAGAGAGGGAAAGCAAGGGAGTAAGTGTATATGAGTGTTGGACGGAGTGTAAGAGAGGGAGTGTATGAGTGAGAGAGGGAGGGAGTGTATGATTGAGATGAGGGAAAGCAAAGGAGGGAGTGTATGAGTGAGCGAGGGAGGGAGTGTATGAGTGAGCGAGGGAGGGAGTGTATGAGTGAGCGAGGGAGGGAGTGTATGATTGAGAGAAAGAGTGAGTGTATGAGGTTTTTTTAGTTTTAGTAGCGGTTTTACGGCGCTCGCAACTGCATAAGGTCAAGTAACAAACATTTTAAAAAAGAAGGGGAGATAAGGACGATAGATGTTTCATAGGAAAGAAGAAGCAAACCACACCAGAGTACACGCCAACCACCCACTGTATGAGTGAGAGAGGGAGTGAGTGTATGAGTGAGAGAGGGAGTGAGTGTATGAGTGCGACGAGGGAAAGCAAAGGAATGAGTGTATGAGTGGCAGACGGAGTGTAAGAGAGGGAGTGTATGAGTGAGAGAGGGAGGGAGTGTTTGAGTGAGCGAGGGAGGGAGTGTATGAGTGAGAGAGGGGGTGAGTGTATAATTGAGAGAGGGAGTGAGTGTTTGAGTGAGACGAGGGAAAGGAAAGGAATGAGTGTATGAGTGGCAGACGGAGTGTAAGAGAGTGAGTGTGTGACAGACAGAGGGAGTGAGAGTATGATTGAAAGAGGAAGAGAGTGTATGAGTGAGAGAGGGAGCGTAAGGGAGTGAGTAAATGAGTAAGAGATCCGATCTGATTTGTACGCTTCCCAGAAGTTGAGATTGTCTCAGAATGCTACTAGGTCTGCTGTGGTAATAATATTATAGAAAGTCAAGTGCATAGAACTCTCTAATGAGTGGGAATTCATGCTATACAAATGCTGTTTATTACTTCGTACTGTTACTATGTGATCTTACCACAGAATCAGCGTCTGTGGTGTAGCGGATAGGTACTCCGCTGTCACATGCAGTGGACTCACATTCAGTTCCCAAGTAGGGAGAACATTTTTGTCTAATACCTCAGTCTGTCTGCTGGGATGATGTATCTTTCAGCCTGGGCTGGGTCTGATAGGCAAGGTCGGAGGCCCACCTCCTAACTGATCTAAACTGGGTCTATGGTAGAATAAAAACATCTACATTTGTCAAGTGTGCTGACCAAATGAGTTACTTCTTGTAATCCACAAATGGAGATATTGGCCAAAAATCGACACTAGGGTCAAATTTGTAGATTTTCTACTGATGTCATAGTCTTAAAGTATAGCATGCCTTTTATTATTTCATACTAACAAATTGTAAAAACTTCACTTATAAGTATGATGTGTCTATTTCCACAAGGTTTGAATCCAAGAAGTAACTCATCTTGTCAGCAAGCTTCACATTTTTCACAAAATCTTACCACAGAGTTGGAGGCCTCGTGACTGGCAGCTAGGGCCATGGAGGGCGGGGCCGAGGGCTGGCCGTCTGCGTCCTGGAGGGCGGCCGGTGGGAGGAATGGATTGATCTGCGCGGGGCCCGAGCTGAAGGGGTTGGTCGCCGGGCCAGCGAGGAGGGCCGAGTTAGCGGAGGAGGAAGAGGAGGAGGAGGCGTCCATGCGCTCCATGCGTGTCCCGTCGCTGGTGGCGTGGCAGCGGAAGTGGAGAGGCTCAACCTCCAGCAGACCCAGGATGTCGCTACGTAGGCAGTCCGGCTATGGT